GGTAATATTTATTTAAAATGAAATAATATAGTTACATGGCATTTTAAATGTATAACCATAATGTAAAATTATATAATTGATTTTTTTTATTTAAAAATTTACTTATAATATTATAAATACTTATTTATTTACTGGCAAATCATAACTATAAACTTAAAATCTTATATAATATTATAATTATATCAATACTGTATTAAAATGATGAATTTTAAGAGATAGGAACTTGGGATTGGGATTGGATAGAGTAAAATCAATACGATGAGATTAGATTAGAAAAGATAATAATAGTCTTATCTCATATTTGGTATTTTATTACACTGGATACAAAATTTATCCCAAACTTAATTTGATAACAGGTAAGATTCAATTGGATAATCTTTATAATTTGTGTATAGACAAAAATGTCATAGTTTAAAATATTTGAAAATTTTCAATAATCACCAAATTTTTTGTCCACATAAAAAAAATTCCTTAATTAACCTAAAAGATATATTAATTAAAATATTCACCCTAACTACTATATGTATATAACATAAAAAAATCAAAATCAAATTTATCAAAATAATTCATTAAAAAAACTAATAATCTTGAAGAACAAAAGAGAAATTTTCATACTGCACTCCGCCTCCAAATCTTAAAAGAAATTTTCATCAGAAACTTAAATCGAAAATTGAGAACATAATGAAACTAACAAAAAGAAAAGAGATATCACCCATAGAAATTGGTTGGAGATACTAAGGATTTTCCATAAAGTGAGATATCCCATCAACAACTAAAATGTAGACCGATAATTGAATGGATGAACAAAAACAAAGATAAAAACCAAGGTTAGAGGCTTACATAAATGAAAGAGAGAAGGCAAGTAACTCGGCGTCGAAAGAAGAATAGACAATCAATGCGGTGGAACCTCGATGCCTACCGCCAGCTGCAGTGATGATGATGGTAACAATGTCGACGACTGAAATGGGAAACAGCGAGGTGTTGGGAGCGACTACGATCTCATGAGAGATGAGAAGGTAAGTTTGAGGTTTTGGTTTTGATTCTGCAAAAATTACATCTCATCTCGAGTAATCTAGTGGGGGAAATGGGATACATTTCAGTTCATTAGGTTAGGATTGGATAAAACAGAGGATAGACTTTGTCTTATCCCATAAGACCACCAAACATTGGTTACATGAAGTCATGAGTAATTTTAGTCCCATCCCATGAGTAATTTGAGCTTCCAAACGTGCCCAGAGGGTATTCAT